CCCTTCTATTTAACTAGCAGGAACCAAATTAAAGGTAACAGAATATCAAATAATAGAAACTACCTGTCTCTTATAAAAGAACTTTTGATTGAAGCAAAATCCATTAATGACGACGAGGTGATTGTAAGATTACAGTGCAAAGTAAAGATATTAAATGGGAGTCTAAACACTTGTCCATCATGGCCGTGCTTGACTAGATTTTCAAAATAATCGCCATTTAAGCGTATTCTATATAGAATGGTATCTATTATTTCGTCATTAATATAGAAGTGTTAATAATTTACATCAAGAAATGCGAGTAAGTCGATAGACATCGTTTCTTTGTCCTTTTCTGCTATGCCTGTCGATGCTGTACAATTCTAATCTATACATTCTTATCATATCACATCACCATAATCATGATTAATAATATTGCTGTTGAATAGTTTAATTTTTTTGTTGATTTTATGGCGATACATGCAGCTCAATAATTACTATTTTAAATTTAATAATTGCTCAATATTTATCGGCAGCAGTGGCGTTCAACAGAAACAAGAACAGTTAAACATATTTAGTTGCAACATTATATACTTCACGGAAGTCATTGGTGATCTTTGGTCGATTAAGTTGTATTTGAATTAAAAGCCGTTCAAACTAGGCTCTGATTAGCCATTTATTTGCCCCTAGCCCATTGGTGAAAACGATTACAAGCTTTATATCCTCTTGAAATCCGGTTAAGATTGCTGAACATGAATTTTCAAAGCAATAATCATTCAAAATCACTACATGAAAGCTACATTAATACATTCACTAAGTAAATAAATGTAATTAAATTTAAAGGGGCATTAGGAAAGATTAGATAAAGAGCTGACAGTTCTCGCTATAATAGTTAATAAATAGATAATGAAAACGGAATATGCTGAAAATTTCAGACAAATTGCTTCACTCTGAACCGGGACATTAGCGATTCAATTTTAGGCTAGCCCCGATCACCATTACACCGTTGGTACAATAATAATCAAAGTCTCGATTATCCATTTTTACGTTACATCATCCATCACAAAACGTATTTAAATCTACTAAATATCGCAGGTTACCGATGGCATTGAGAGTTGATTATGGTCTGGATAAGTTAACTAATGTCTAATTAATAATTTAGATAACATTTCAGGCCTAAAGAAAGACATGTTTAGCTCTTGCATAATTAATTAGATATGTCAAATACACTCAGAATTTCTAAAATATAAGTAAAGTGGGGTATTTTGTACGGGAGCAGTTTGTTAAACTCCATGAAAATCAATAATTAATGTTTTGGAACGGCAGATTTTCCTTCAACCGGATTTTAATATTTCCCTTGTGTGACACCAGCGTATGCAACCTTCCTTCATATAGATCAATATCAGGCTCTGGTTCGAATGAAAGAAACGTGGTTGGTCATGATGGCATTGTGCATTACAAAAATCCACGGACTGATGGTAGTGTTAGAATTTCAAACGCAATAACACTCAACCTCTCCACCAATATTACATTGGTCCTTGGAAAAGCATCGAATGCATTAACCAAAATGTTATTTACACTCATGAGTATATTTATCACTGGTTCCTAATCATTTTGCGGGGGGTTGGATGGCCGATTGGTTAGCACGTGCGTGCTGTATCATAAAGCCGGTCATTGAGTCAACATTCGTTCGTTTCAAGACCTTAAACTTCGTGTATAAAGCCAAAGTCAATCGAAACGATTATATACAGGCTTAAACACCGTGTATAAATATAAAATCAATCAGATAATAACTATGGTCATAAAGCTTCCAGAAAATTTTTCAAAGTGATCAAGAGCCATACCTTTGGCAGTAATTAGCGGAAATCGTTGAAAATCAATAGGATTCTTCTTCTCGTGACCTTAAACACTGTGTATAAATTTCAAGTCAATCGGATATTAACTTTAGCCTCTAGAGCATCCACAAGAATTTTCATAGTGATCAAGTGCCATAACCCTGGCAGAAATCATTGAAAATCAATAGGCTTCTTCGTCTCGTGACTTTAAACACTATGTATATATTTAAAGTCAATCGGATATTAACTTTAGTAACTAGAGCGTCCACAATTGCTTGTGAACACCGGACGGACGGGGCGACAATATATGACCACGTTTCAATGTGAGCGTATAAAAAACTGATCCGACTTTTTTGCGCCTTACATGGCATACCTTTTCACTTTTACCAGATTTAAAAAAAATAAAATAATAATATTTGCATTCGAAAAGAGGTACCGAACCGTCAAAATTGTAATTTTTGGCAAATCGAACAATAAATAATTAATATAGGACCGAAAAACTGAATTAGCCAATGGCGGCTAACGCAAATATTACGGAGACAATTTTTTTTTCACAATTTTGCTCAAGTCAGGTGACTCTTAAATCCTGTGTAAAATGCCATACAAAAATATGCATAAATAATTTTTTTTGTTTTTGTTTTTTTTGTAGAAATCTAATTTTCTAATTTTGACGCCTTATATCTACGAAGATGTATCCAAAATCAAACATATCAAGTAGCGCAGCCGTGTGTTCTGTCTCTGACTATGCCAAAATGTATCGAAAGTTAAAATCAGACGTATTGTTAAAATTACGGCAATATTGTTAAAAACGACAACTTTGGAGATTTCGGATATTTCGCATTGTTGCAGAACGTTCAAAATAGCTTTATTCTCTAAGTCACACCCACTTCCCCACGAAAACCGAAGACATCGTAATGATGCGACAAATAGTTGCCGAGATCTAATCAAAATGGAAAAAGAAAAAAAATCAATAATGTTTCACATAAGCTACGTAGTGTGAAACCCTACTAATCCGAACAAAAACAAAACAGTGCGAAACCCTAATAACAATCATAATACGACATGAACTTTATTTCAAAAAGAATAAAACTGCTTTCTGGCGAGATAGCGATCGGCGAACAACTAACTACATAGACAATACGAAGTATGCTTTGGAACAAACATTGTATTAGTTTTTTTGTTGACATTCATCGAGGGGTGGGATATTGTGAATGGCGCCCTAGATTGCACCCCCCCCCCCGCCACAATTCACAGCTTCTAGATCCACTACTGCCTGGCCAAGCACGTCACTGACATGGACAATTATTAAGAGTTATGTGAAGGTCCTAACTACTACACCTGTAAGGATTTTAACTTTTTTCATTGGAACAAAGTTTAAGATTAAAACTGTAAAACTCACCAGTTCAAACGAAACGCAAGCTGTTTTGTTTATTGGGTGTTTAAAAAAAAGAAAAAAGAATTTAACAGAATATAACATTCATAAAAAAGGGTTTTGTGGAACAATACGTAATATTTGAAAAATATAATAAGTGGCATCCAACTGGCAGTTTAAATAACCATTTGTATCAGAGCGCGTGGCAACTCGACTTTATTAACAGATACAGAAGATATTTTTAGATCTCGTATTATGTCTCAAATTTCAAAAGAGTCTGAAAATTAACTTTCAACACGCCGCACGTTTATGAAAATATAGAGCCAAATAAACGAATTAAGACTCACAACATGCACAGCTTGGTCAGCTTTACAAGATGGCCGAGTCCGGCGTATGTTACAAATACATGTAGAAAAAAAATTCTACACCTACGAAGATAAGATATTAATGTTAGAATTGAATTTCTTGAAAAGTTAAACAAAGTCGAGTTCTTATATTTATACAGACGACAGTTGAACAAACGAGTAGAACTCACGGCATGTTTAGTACAATACAGAAAAACAATGCTAACAAATTTAAACACCTTTGGGCAACAAATCACCTCTCTTTTCTACCATTACACAGTTGGTCGTGTAGAATTACGTGTTTTTCTATGGCTAACATTCAATTTTCTAATTGTACAAAAGACGATATAACAGGGAATTAGTGTGTAGACTAACCAACCGAAAGAAAAAAAATCACCACCTTCTATATAAGAGATTGGGATGGGAGTCTCGTGCCGTGACGTAATGTCATCAAGTGACAGGTGTAAAGAAATCAACAAGTCAGGCCCCTTAGGGTGAAACATTCGCGTGCCTCTTTTATACCTTTTAGCCATGTCGCCGCACGAGCAGGTGGACGAATTTCAATACCCGTAGACCAATTTAAATACAATCTCCACAAAATATATGTAACAAAGAGCCTCCATTGTGTCAATTATAATGGCTAAAATTCCAAGACATAAGCACTTTGTTACAGAGCAATAATTCCAATCCCCTCTTAACAAAGGTCAAATTCAACATCCGAACAATTGCATTAGCAATAAAATAAATGTTCCTCATGGCTCTTTGCTTTAATGAAAATAACACAACACAATGGCAACTGTATTTTTATGTCTGAAGAGACACATGCACGCATAGTAGTAAATTAAAGAGACATTATGTAAGATTTAGATAAAGAGCTGACCATTCTTGCTATAATAGCTGAAAAATAGATAATGTAAAATGAAAATGTTGAAAATTTCATTCAAATTCCTTCATTCTGAGCTAAGTTATTACTATTTGTAGTTTTGACAAGATGTGAGAATTGTGGTAACCATGGCACTGGTATATTCGAGTCTTAGCCTCGCTTTCCCATTTTAAAATTAAATTTTTATATGGCAAACCATTTTAATCTAGTTAAAACATCTCAAGTATCCGATGCCATCAAGAGTTGATTATAGTCTTGTTTTGTTCATCAATGTCTAATTAATAGTTTATATAATATTTCAGAACTAAAGAAAGACCTGCAATAGGTAAATTTAGCTCTTACATAATGTATGTTTAAGTTTCTTTTAATAATTCTTACTTCTTTCCTTATATTAAACATACCATGGTAAAATAACTCCCAACTTACAGCCATTACTTGAGGTCTCCCATTAATATTTAAGCAAGCAACCATCGATAAAGTCGAGTGTAAATAAAACATTTTTGCTATAGTTTTCTAACAATGTATTATATACTAATATTGTGTACATTGCAGTTAGATCAGTTTCAAAGAAATTATGCAAAAATCCCATATAATGAGCTTCTTTTTTTTTATTTCAATGATACTCAATTTTTTCAACCATAAATAATTGAACAGAAACAATACATTATTATATTTGTACAATATGATATTCAATGAGTTCTTCTTGTCAAAAATTTGTTTTATTCTGAAGGACAAAAACTGTACTATATATACTTACGAATAAATATGTTCATTTACACTAAATCTGTCTAAAATTTATTTTACAGATTTATTTTCAATATGTTGTTTTAAAATCTATCTATTATTTTTGTAATACAGTGTTTGTGTTTGCCATGGTATGACTTTTTTTTTATGTAATAAATATTACACATTTCCAGAAAAAAATCTACAATAATTGGTTTAATATTTAAATTTTCACATTGATTTTCAATATAAATAATAAATAAAATATTTATTCGAAAATAAACTTTAACTTTTACAGTGTGGTATAAATAGGCAACATTCATGCTGAGTTAAACTAGGGTTTTATTGACTGGATCTTTATACAGCAGTAGGTATGTACTCATAAATAAAAACTCACCAATTTATAAACTGGAAAACATATGTAGAAAACACAAACAGATCAGAAATTTACAGTATAGTTGTTTTTTTACTTCTTGCATACATTTGTTTAATTACATCTCTATATATATATTTCTAATTGTTATAAACTTTTCTACATCTTTAAAACAACTTTCCAGGTACAATCTCATCCAGATATATTGCTGATCTTATAAGATACATGTATGAGGCAAATTCCTAAACTAACCCCCTAAACTCTTCCAAATTCGAAAATACCAAAGGTAAGTAGAGATAAATCTTAACATGTTCCGATGACCGACTATATTAGACTATGTCAGATATTTATTGATTGTATCTAAATGCATGTGTAAAATCTGTGAATAAAACTGAATGAGATTCAAGAATGAAAAGGGTTTTATTCCTTGGTGATAATTTACTCTTGATATCTTATCCCTTGAATTGTAACACTCAAATCATTTGTCTCTTATAGTCTACTTAATTATACAAAATCTTTTAATTTCCTAAAAATTATAAGTCTAGTAAAATAGTTCTTGGATCTTCTACAGATGTCTTTATTTTACGAAGGAAAGTAACAGCCTCTCGTCCATCTATTAATCTATGATCATAAGTTAAGGCCACAAACATCATAGGGCGAATTTCAACCTGAAATAATAATTACATAGAAACTGTTATTGTGTATATGTGAGTATGGGTTATATGAGTAAAAATTATGTCAAAGGCGATATTCAAAAATATACTTATCCACAATAATTTATTTCCTCAACATCTGATAATCGTGAATAGTGTGTTTGACTTCAAAACTATTTTGTTTGTGCCAGCTCGACAGCTAGTATAAAGCAGATAACGGTCAATTAAGTCAATCAGAGTATGAGATATCAAAGGAAGGTACAATTCTTCCCAAATTTACTAGAGAATTCCTTTAATGCTTTTTTTTTACATTTTAAATACAAATGTATTAAAATAAAATTAAATAAGTTAAATGTCTTAACAAAAGATAAGTGTAAGGATTTTTCCAAATCATCAACAAACAGCCTAGGAATTGTTAAATATATAGTTCACTGCATTGGGACTTAGATTTTGCACATCCATTGAATGCATAGACCTACTTTTCTCACCCATTTCAAATTATATAAAATATTTCCTATTCTTACCTTTCCTTTAACCACTACAGGTCTATCAACTATAGCATGCATTCCTAATATAGCTGATTGTGGGGGATTAATTATAGGAGTACCAAACAGTGATCCAAATACTCCACCATTACTTATAGTAAATGTACCACCATCCATATCCTCTATAGCTAACGAACCATCTCTAGCCTATATATAACAAAATAATTACATTCTGAGAAATACTTGAACATTTAAAGGAGAGATCAGATATATTCTTGTGATGAAAAACTAGTTAATTCTGTGTTGAAGACATTTTCAATCTTAGAGACTATTAGATATTTTACTGTTAATCATTACCTTGTTATAATACACTGGCATACACATGTAAATTATTATTATATTAATTTATATTACCTTGTCTCCTAGTTCGGCTATAGTTTTTTCTATTTTAGCGTAGTTCATTGTTTCTACATTTCTTATAACAGGCACTACAAGACCCTGTTTAAAAATAAATATATTTATATACATATATTGATGATCAATATTACAACATGCTATACACAAATATATAGTTACAACTTTATATTGATCAGTTACATTTCACACCAAGTTTATGTACGTTCCGATCACTTTAAAGAAACATCTTTATATTAAAGTAATGTTAGTCACACAATTGAGCATAATAGTATATTTAGAATTTTTCTTTCAATACCTTTGGTGTTGATACAGCTACACTAATATCTATATAATCTCTATATATTATTTCTAAATCATCTATAACTGCATTAACAACTGGTTGATCCTGTAAAGCATAGGCTGTAGCCTTAACGAAAGCGGACATAAATCCTAATTTTAGACCTGTCTTTTTAAGGAACGCTTCTTTGTAATTGGCTCTCATTTCCATAACATTGCTGTAAGAAATTATAAAGATGGTTTAAAATTAAATGCCATGAATTATTATAAATTATCAGATAAAAGTATGAAAATATGATATATTTGTATTGCGAGGTGATTATTTTATCAAATGGGATATTGCAGCTCCATAAACTCGTAACAGGCTTTAAAGGTGAAGTCCCAGATCACTTTTTTTTTTCAGATTATTATTCCTATTATCAAGTTTGCTTGTTTTCTCAGATCATTCCAAACTCTTTGATATTATTGGGTAAGACGCAGTTGTGACTTTGAGATTAAATCTATTTCGAAAGCTCTGTCACATTTTTGACAAGCTCGTAATGCCTTTTCAGATAAATCTACTGTATCTAGATGGATGTACCTACAAAACATTAGTTCACTTTTTAAATTTTACTTTCGATTTCACACCATTTTGACTTAAAAGGTCCAAAAACAAATTAAAATGCATTTGAAATATGTTGACAAGTTTCATGGATATGGGAAGTTATATCGTATAAAGGTCATAGGTAATAAAACTGCCATAGCTGCATCACAGGTCTAGTTGACCAAAATATACCTTTTGTCTCTACTAATTTTCTTGTCTATGTTTTTGAACAGCAATTTCACTGCTTCGACTATTAAAATGTTCTAGATATGTAATTCATTTATTCCTCATTGCCAATAACTATATTAATGTATACAGTATTTTATAAGTAAAATTAATAGAGAGATATTAGAACACATCTGCTACATGATATTAACATAAAGCTGAATACACAATTGAGAAAGAAAATTAAATTCTTCAACAATAACTGGCATACATATATTAGATAAGCAAGTAGGTTTTATTTTCTACTTATTGTTTCGTTTATCAATTATTGAACATGGTTTTTAGTGTTTACTACACCTTATCTTATTGTTGACAACTCCAAAACATATGTATATAAACATGATATCTCCATAATTATTATACTTATCTTATTATTACCCAGTTTTTATAACTGCACATTGCTCTTCACTTAGCTAATCAATAAATCCCTTTTATGTACCAAATATTTTTACACATAACTTGATTATTTATAATTTAAAACTATCAAGAAATCAGAAAACAGTCTAGATAACTCTCAATAGAATAATAAACAAGGTCTAATAAAACAGAATTTGATTTATATTCACTAAGATAGATATAAAGAATGTTTTTAAGTGTCTAGGACATGGTTAACTGAACACATTACAATTAGAAAGTGAATTCAACATGCACTCAATGGCATTAATAAATAAAGCAATCAAGACTATAAACTGACAATAACACTCAGGGCGGGATTAACCATTAAGCAAACTAAGCACATGCTTAGGGCATCATAGGACAGGGGGGACCACATAATTTCTGCATGTTAGATGCCAAATTTAAAATATTTAATTCAAAAATTAAATAAGAACTTTTAATTAGCTTTTCATTGTTTTTATCTTTTCTTACTGTTACCGGCTTTGACTCAGTTAATATTGACATGTATAAACCTGATTTTGACAAATGCAAATGTATTTTGTGGTTTATATATGGGGGCACCAAATTCTTTAAAGTGCCTAGGGCATCTATGGGTCTTAATCTGAACCCGATAACATTGTCAAATATACTGCAGGCAGTAGTACAGGAAAAATTCTCAGAGAAATTACTACGATCAGAGTCCGAGAGAGAGGGAGAGAGAGTGGGAGAGAGAGACCATAGCTATGCCATTTTTGATAAAATGTGGTCAATGTTTAATTTCAATAATTCACTGAATGCAGGGGAATTAGACTTCAGAAGTGGGAAGAAAGTTGAGTATCAAGAGAAAACCATCAAGTTTAGACAGGTGGGTGACAACTTACACAGTGGATGGTGTTTTAGGCTACAAAGTTAGGAGTTTTGCTGCTTTATTTAATACTTACCTCATATCTATTTCATTAAAGGTAGTTAACATAGCACATGTATTCTGGGCTTCCTTTAATCTTTGAGCTATTCTTTGTCTCATTCTGTTCATTTTCACCTAGTCAAATATTTCAAAATATTACCAAAATATCAATATATTTCTATGTAAATAACTTTTAATATCAATCATAAACTGATGATAAATTCGTTTGGTTTCCTTTCTACCATCTGTTGTATGTTGTAAGAAATATCACTACATAAATGTAACACTATAAAGACAAAGATCTCTTAGTCACTTGAATCAATACAGACCAAATAAACAATATGTTCCTTCAGGTACATTCATAATACATATTATGACATGTTCACTGATAGATTTATTGTACAGCTTACCTGTACTTTAAATAATAAAGCCCCATTATACCAGAAAAATGTTAAATCTACGGTTTAAGATCATATACAATTTATACAATCAAAATTTATTGTATATCGAAACACAATTTGGTCAAAACATTATTCAAATCAATGAATTATATTTCAGGTTATGGCCATTTAAAGTTTACATTTGTTTATATTGACTTCACACCACCATCTGTGAATGATTTGGCTTTATAGTTTAATTTTAAAGTGTTTTCTATAAACTGGTAAAATTTGAATGTTAGATATTAAGAGTTAATATCACTTACTCTCTGTTCTCCTCTACCTCCACTTACTGATGGTGTTGGGCTAGGGGCTGATTTCACCTTCACGGATGATGTAGGTTTAAAACTAGTTGGTTTTGTTGGAAGTGGAGGTACTGGTGGTGGCGTCGAGGGGATTGGACCTTCTGATGAGGGGGAAGGTGCGGCAGCTGCTGCGGCTGCTTCGGTCTTTGCAGGTGGAACTGGGGCATCTGCTTTCTTGGCTGGGGCATCACTGGCTTCTGTAATATTTATAATAGGATCATTAATCCCATATGGTAAGGGTTTTGTTTGTGCAGCCCTGAGACTGCATCGTGAAATTCTTATTGGTGTAAACAAGTTAACGAGCGGTTGCCATACAAGATATGCCCACATTTTGCAAGAGATGGCCAGAGAACGAGCTAAAAAAATAATGTGATTTTTTGTACAATCAGGGGCCATAATCCAGGAAGATATGGTCCGATATGCGTAAATATCGAAAGGAACCGAGATGTTTGGGTTATGAACATACATGTATTACATACATTTCAAGTTGAATCAAAATTGGATAAAAATTGTGACTTCTAGAGGATCCACAATTTTGTATTACATACTTTTACACAATTTGCGTACAAACAGCGGCCATTTTGTTGGGAAGTTTTATTTCAATTTGAGTAGAGTGGCGGCCATTTTGTCTGGCAGTTAAGTCTGATTTTCACAAAATTCGAACTCAACCAACATTACAGAGTAATGGTGATATATTAAAACAGTTTTTTTAATTCAGATAATAATTGCGACTTCTAGAGGGATCACAAGCTAAAACGCGATTTTTCGTACAATCAGGGGACATAATTCCGGAATTTATTATCCGATGTGCGCGAATATAGAAAGCAACCAAGATCTTTAGGTTATAAATATGCATTTCAAGTTTCATCAAAATCGGATCAAAATTGTGACCTCTAAAGGATCCAAAACCTTGATATACCAGATGTATACACTATTTGCTTACAGGGCAGCCATTTTGTCCGGCAGTTTTGATCCGATTTTCACGAAATACGAACTCAACTATTATTAGGGTGTAACGGTGATACATTCAAACGTTTTTTTAAAGATAAAAATTGTTACTTCTAGAGGGACCACAAGCTTAAAATGCGATTTTTCATACAATCAAGGGCCATAATTCAGGAAGTTACGATCCAATATGCACGAATATCGAAAGGCACCAAGATCTTTGGGTTATAAACATGTATTTCAAGTTTCATCAAAATCTGATTAAAATTGTGACCTCTATTAGCGTACGAGGGGTAGTGCTAATATCAAGTAAAATTTTACGCATCGATGCATCAGACGCAAATATCAATTCTCGCATCGATGCATCAGGAATTTTTTGCAGCCATTTTGTTAATCAAAAATTACATTAGTATTTCTGATAGAAACATGAATTTCCCTAACATTATCATTAGGCCTATTATTATAGAAATTTCCACAATATTCTTCTGTTATTTATTATGACATTAAAGACCACGTAAGATCAAAAATCTAAATTGCATGTATGTAAAGCCCATGGTTACTATATTAAGTCCGCTGTTAACGTTTAAGTATCCGACACGCCAAAACGCTTTTCGATTTTTCAATTACGACCTTAATCCGGTTGATTGGCTGGTGACGTCACAGGCACTACACATAGGATATACATTATCTATACAATATCTCACTGTCTGTACAATATAGCACTATCAATACACACGGCAACTGGACAAGCGTTTATTGACGGTCCAATTACCACGTGACTGGCCTAATCATAATCACCGAATTATCGTCTTTCATTGGTATAGATTAGACATTTGTGATTGGAATATTTTAGAATGAATTTAAAATGCCGTAGATCAATTTAAGCTGCCTTTGTTTAAATAGGCCACGTGTCAAATGAAGATGACTCAAGAAATTAGCGCATTTACCGGTAATTTGGATAACCCCGTAATACTTGATATCCAAAACTTAACAATGGTGCCAGTCATTTGTCGATATATTCATTATTAGCTATATATAATAATAATAACCATTTCTATACATAAAGGACAATTACAGTGAATATGGAATATTCCGATGACTATGCATAACATGTACAATAGATCGCACTCATTTCTCTGCCAATCAACGCTTGGTATCTTATTATCATGTACCGTTCCATGTACTACGGGTGTAGTAAATGAGGTTAAACTTTGCCGCGAAAATTGCACGGGATCATTTGTGGAGTTCCTGGTGCCGTTTGGTGAGTGATTAAACTGTCAATGCAAGGGTAAAATACTTTAATTATAAAGAAGATAACCGATGTTAGACATTATAACCTAATCGTATCAAAAACGTTAATCCATCCATCAATTAAATGTTGTTTAAACGCCAATCAACAAATAATATGAGGCTACTTGATTACAAAAACACCGGTGAGCAATAATTATTGGGTATATAGTAATTGTAAACAACTTAATAGTAAAACTTAATTAATTTATACAATTAATGTGTGTGTGTATGATTCTACCATTAGTTCGTTCGTGAGGTATTCAGTTCAGTTCAGGTATTACGCACACGTTCCACTGAGAGTGATGTCTTTGATCTGGCCGGCGTAAAAAAACGATAATTACCTAATTAACATTCTTAATCCCACTAACACTCACTGCTAAAACCAACGTGTAAATTAATTTATGACTCATGCCTGTATAACTTATATAGTCGGATTGATTAATTAATGACAGATATTAACGACACTACACTTTATGTGGAAAAGCGAAGTGCTCGCAGTAAAAACCACATAGCTGGACCCGTATATTATTTACATATTAAAATTGTTCGTCCAATAAGTTCCATATTGTAAAAAATTAATTAAGAGTTCAAGACTTCAAAGTTTAAAAGTTGTAGGCACTCTAAATTGGATCTTAAATTAAAATGAATTACAAAACAAATTATTCGGTAGTCAGTTGTTTTATTTAATTAGGGGGATTAAGGAATCCTTCAGGCGTTAAAGAATACACACGCCGGCTGTATATAGGTAATTAAGGAATAAACATTCCGAATATGCATTCAGTCACTGTGACGTCACTGGCGTTTGAGGGGATTAAGAGTGTTTTTGATAATTGGCAAAGTCGTTTTTACGGAAGTTCTACTTGAGTGAAGATAACTGAATTAATTTCAACCAGATTGACGTGAATTTGCCGTAAAGTTGATATAGTAACCATTGGCTACACGTATCCCAAAATTTCCAGACCCATCTTATGTGCACTTTAATATAGTCCGATTCACTTCAATTGACATTCGTTAGCCATTCTTCAAATCGTATGAAACATTTATAATACACTAAAATCTGATTAAGTGTAACAACTCATGAATTAATTATCAGAAAACCATTAGAATTTGTTTGGTTTTTATAAAGTTCTGCCCCATGCTAACGTTTAGTATACAAAACTCTTAGTATCATGGATTTAGCTGTTCAAGTCATAAAAATACATTGAAAATCAATATACTTGTTCGTCTCAAGATCTTAAACTCTGTGTATCTATCTGAAGTCAATCAGATGATAACTTTAGCCTCTAGAGCGTCACAAGATTTTTCAAAGTGATCAAGGACCATAACTTTGGCAGTAAAAATCGGAAATCGTTGAAAAACAATAAGATTCTTCGTCTCATGACCTCAAACATTGTGTATAAATTTAAAGTCAATCGGATATTAACTTCAGCCTCTAGAGCATCCACAAGATTTATTGAAGTGATCAAGGGTCATAACTTTGGCAGTAATTATCGGAAATCGCTGAAAATCATTAGGTTTCTTCGTCTCATGGCCTTAAACACTGTATATAAATTTAACGTCAATAGGATATTAACTTTAGCCTCTAGAGCGTCCACAAGATTTTTTGAAGTGATCAAGGGCCATAACTCTGGTAGTAATTATCGGAAATTGCTTCTTCGTCTCATGGCCTTAAACACTGCATTAATACTTGATATCAGAACTAACGAGGGGCAGCCAATTTGTCCGGCAGTTTTGGTGATGCATTGATACTTGATATCAGCACTAAGGAGGGGCAGCCATTTTGTCCGGCAGTTTTGGTCTGATTTTCACAAAACTTGAACTCAACCATCATTAAGGTGTAATGGTGATATATTCAAACGTTTTTTTAAATCGGATAATAATTGTGACCTCTAGAGGGACCACAAGCTAAAACCGTTATTTTTATAAGATCTTTGGGTTATAAACATGCATTTCAAGTTTCATCAAAATCAGATGAAAATTGTGACCTCTAGAGTGTCCACAAGCTAAAAACGTGATTTTTCGTACAGTCAGGGGCCATAATCCATGAAGTTTCGATCCGACACATGCCAATATCAAAATCAGACTAGAACTGCGAAGCAGTAATGACGGGTTTCACACGGCATCACATGGTAAAAAAATGTGAAAATAGTGAAAGAAAATTGAAAATTGAATAATAATTGATTCTTGTAAAGGCAAAATAACGCGAAATGTGACTCATGAAAAATTGCCTATTTCTCGGCAACTGCTGATATTACAAACTAATTTTGACATACATTCTCATTGTATGGGTTATTGCTAAGAGGTTATGAAAGTTACGATGAAATATTTTGAAATATGAAGACTGTGGATGGGTTGTAAATAGCTTATTTTTACACCTTTTTTCGCCTTTTAATCTAAACAGCCTGAAAACGAAATCGAAATTAAAAAAAACTGATCCCGATGTTTTGTGCGCCTTTACAGGGCGTACCCTTTCAGTTAAATCAGATTTGAAAAAAATGATATTTGTTTTCAAAAAGTTGTACCGAACTGTCAAAATTGTACTTTTTGCTGATTTTACCTCACTTCTGGTGCCGACAGGAATCTTTACCGGTAACAAAAAAAATGACATTTTGGACCATGCAGCATATGAACTTTCTTTTGTACAAATTGAATAATAAATAATTAATCTAGGATTGAAAAAATGAATTAGCCAATGGCAGCCAAGGAAAATTACGGACACAAAAAATGTTGACATTTTTAGTCAAATCGGATAATTCTTCAACCCTGGGTAAAATGCCATATAAAAATATTCATAAATAAAAAAGTTTTTTGTAAAATTTCAAATTTTCGAAATTTGGCGCTTAATATCTACGAAGATTCGTCGACAATCAAAAATCGAAAGTTGCACAGCTATGTGCCTTGTCTCCGGCTATGTCAAAATGCATCATATGTTAAAATTCTGTGGTATCTGTATGGTCGTATGGGTTCATTCAATTTCTTGATTGAAATTAAATATCATACTTTTCAACAAATAACATATACGACTCATTTGAAAAAAATATCGGTTTTGAAGGCTAAAAATCCAGTTTTTGCCCAAATGAAGCCACTTCCGGTGACAGTAAAGGTGTTAAAATGGTTTAACCTAGTCAAATGTGTCATTAGGCATCAAATAGTGAAAGAAAATTGAAAATTGAATACTAATTGATTCTTGTAATGGCAAAATAACGCGAAATGTGACTCATGAAAAATTGCCTATTTCTCGGCAACTGCTGATATTACAAACTAATTTTGACATACATTCTCTTTGTATGGGTTATTGCTAAGAGGTTATGAAAGTTACGATGAAATATTTTGAAATATGAAGACTGTGGATGGGTTGTAAATAGCTTATTTTTACACCTTTTTTCAATTTTAATCTAAACGGCCTGAAAACGAAATCGAAATTAAAAAAAACTGATCCCGATGTTTTGTGCGCCTTTACAGGGCGTACCCTTTCAGTTAAATCAGATTTGAAAAAAATGATATTTGTTTTCAAAAAGTTGTACCGAACTGTCAAAATTGTACTTTTTGCTGATTTTACATCACTTCTGGTGCCGACAGGAATCTTTACCGGTAACAAAAAAAATGACATTTTGGACCACGCAGCATATGAACTTTCTTTTGTACAAATCGAATAATAAATAATTAATCTAGGATTGAAAAAATGAATTAGCCAATGGCAGCCGAGGAAAATTACGGACACAAAAAATGTTGACATTTTTAGTCAAATCGGATAATTCTTCAACCCTGGGTAAAATGCCATATAAAAATATTCATAAATAAAAAAGTTTTTTGTAAAATTTCAAATTTTCGAAATTTGGCGCTTAATATAATAATAATAATCATTTTGTATAGCGCTGAATGCTCCAGCTAACAGCTGCTCCGCGGCGCTTTTCACAATTAAAATATTACATATAATATAAAACAAATAGTTCTAAAACATTAAAATGTCGACATGTTCATAGTTTAAAAGCATGTTTAAAAAGTTTGGTTTTAAGATTTTTTTTAAAAACAGCAACGTTAGTAGAGTCTTTTACATGTCTAGGTAATTCATTCCACACGTTAGCAGAGGCGTAAACAAAAGCCCGTTCACCAGTTTTAGTTTTTACTGTAGGAACATGAAGTAAGTTTTTATCAGCAGAGCGTAGGTTCCTGCTTGGTTTATACAGGGTTAAAAGTTCATTAAGATATTGTGGGGAACAGTTATTATTTAGACAATTAAAAGTTAAAAGACCGATCTTAAAATTAATTTGTTGATAAACTGGTAGCCAATGAAGATTTTGGAGTACTGGAGTAATGTGTTCAGATTGTTTAGTTAGAGAAACGATACGTGCAGCTTTGTTCTGAATTTTCTGGAGTCTGTTTATATCTGATGCTGGTAATTGGTATAGAAGCGAATTGCAGTAATCTAGTTTGGAGAGAACGAAAGCGTTAGTTAACATTTTAGCGATATTTGACGTTATAAATGGTCGAAGTTTACCAATGTTGTAAAGATGAAGATTTAATGATTTGCAGGTAGTAGAGATGTGACTTTTCATTTTAAGATCGTGATCAAAGTCAACTCCAAGATTTTTAACTGATTGAGAGGATGTTATTGTTGAATCACCGATTTTAACGGATTGAGAAAGAGATTTTCTGCTGATTAAGATGACCTCTGTCTTATCATCATTTAATTTTAGGAAATTAAGATTCATCCAATTTTTTATGTCATCTATACAAGCCTCAAGTTTACAGATTTCGGTGGAGTCACTCGGTGGTTTCAAAGCAAGATACAGTTGTGAGTCGTCAGCATGAAGATGAAAGTTAATTCCATGTTTTCGGATGATATCGCCAATTGGTGTTGTGTAGGCAGTGAATAAAAGGGGACCAAGAACCGACCCCTGCGGAACTCCAAAGCGTAGGGTTTTGGGAGACGATGTTGCTTTCTCAATGACTACATACTGTGACCTGTCAGTTAGATAAGAGCGTATCCATTTTAGACATAGTTCATCGACGCCAAAACGTGTTTGTAACCGGTTTAATAGAATATCATGATCAATAGTATCAAAGGCGGCACTTAAGTCTAGTAACACTAATACGACAGACTGTTTATTATCTATGTTAGTAACAATATCGTTATATACTCTCAGCAGTGCTGTTTCAGTGCTGTGACCCTTCTTATATGCTGATTGAAATTGTTTGTCAAGATTGTTAATAACAAAATGGTGTTTTAGTCTCATGGATATAACGAAGATTCGTCGACAATCAAAAATTGCACAGCTATGTGCCTTGTCTCCGGCTATGTCAAAATGCATCATATGTTAAAATTCTGTGGTATCTGTATGGTCGTATGGGTTCATTCAATTTCTTGATTGAAATTAAATATCATACTTTTCAACAAATAACATATACGACTCATTTGAAAAAAATATCGGTTTTGAAGGCTAAAAATCCAGTTTTTGCCCAAATGACGCCACTTCCGGTGATAGTAAAGGTGTTAAAATGGTTTAACCTAGTCAAATGTGTCATTAGGCATCAAATAGTGAAAGAAAATTGAAAATTGAATACTAATTGATTCTTGTAAAGGCAAAATAACGCGAAATGTGACTCATGAAAAATTGCCTATTTCTCGGCAACTGCTGATATTACAAACTAATTTTGACATACATTCTCTTTGTATGGGTTATTGCTAAGAGGTTATGAAAGTTACGATGAAATATTTTGAAATATGAAGACTGTGGATGAGTTGTAAATAGCTTATTTTTACACCTTTTTTCGCCTTTTAATCTAAACGGCCTGAAAACGAAATCGAAATTAAAAAAAACTGATCCCGATGTTTTGTGCGCCTTTACAGGGCGTACCCTTTCAGTTAAATCAGATTTGAAAAAAATGATATTTGTTTTCAAAAAGTTGTACAGAACTGTCAAAATTGTACTTTTTGCTGATTTTACCTCACTTCTGGTGCTGACAGGAATCTTTACCGGTAACAAAAAAAATGACATTTTGGACCACGCAGCATATGAACTTTCTTTTGTACAAATCGAATAATAAATAATTAATCTAGGATTGAAAAAATGAATTAGCCAATGGCAGCCAAGGAAAATTACGGACACAAAAAATGTTGACATTTTTAGTCAAATCGGATAATTCTTCAACCCTGGGTAAAATGCCATATAAAAATATTCATAAATAAAAAAGTTTTTTGTAAAATTTCAAATTTTCGAAATTTGGCGCTTAATATCTACGAAGATTCGTCGACAATCAAAAATCAAAAGTTGCACAGCTATGTGCCTTGTCTCCGGCTATGTCAAAATGCATCATATGTTAAAATTCAATGATTATTGTTAATACTACGGCATTTTTTAAAAAAAACGACAACTTCGGTGATTTCGGACATTTCGAATTGTAACAGAATGCCCAAAATAACTTTAATCTCTAAGTCAAACCCACTTTCCCAATAAAACCAAAGAAATCATATCGATCCGACATGTAGTTTCTGAGATACAGTCAAATTGGAAAAAAATAAAAAATAATAATAATAAGAATAAACTTAACAAAAACAATAGTGTTTCACACAAGCTACGCAGTGTGAAACCCTAATAAGAATTGTGACCTGTAGGGTGTCCACAAACAATTATGGATGGACAGAGGCGACGACAATATACCTCCACATGAAAATGTGGGCGTACAAGAATGAAGTTAATAGCCATGTGTAATAATCAACTGACATCGAAGTGTTTAATGTCTGTACTTACTTCCAGGTTTTATTTTAAATATTGGTGCACCAGGTGATACAGTTTCCCCGTCTGCTACCAATAATTCTTCAATAACACCAGTACATGGTGAATTTACTTGAACATTTGTCTACATTAAACAATATATCAACAGTAAATAACTAAAGAAAATGGGTGAAATGTGGTTTATTTGTAATGCTGTTTATTTGTGAGGTTACATTTGGGAATATATGCCTGTGTAACAGTGTATACGCCTACTTTGATCTTAATTCCAATTGACAATTCAATCATATCAAAATTGGGAGCCACAGTGGCTAAGTGGGTAAGAAGCTGGCTCACTAGCCTGTAGTAGGGATGATGATTTTCTGCGATCGTGGAAAAGCCACAGAAAATGCGGAATTCACATTGTCAAATGGATTCATGTAAAATCACGGAATCATCTGAAAATGAAATTTATTCTGTGTAAAAATCACAAAAATTTATAAAATAATCCATTTACAATGACTTTGAAAATGAAATATAACGTAGTTAAAGTCTGAACAGATGAGAGAGGGAGTTTAACATCCACTTGACACAAACTAGGTCATTTCAATGTTAGTTCAATTCTATTTCAATAATTCGCTTGCGCGTAGGGGTCTTTAGCAGCGGGAGGAAACCAGACGACCCAGATAAAACCCACAAGGTTGGACAGGCGACCCTACTACTTGTCACGTACAACCGGGGAATCGAAATCACGCCAGTTGACTCAATGACAGACCTTATGATGCAGCGTGCAAAGGCTAACGACTCAGCCATCCACCACCCACCCCACCCCCAAACAGACGAAGCGAGTTCTAAACAAATAATGCCAAAACATTTCATACATAAATGAGCAGTCAAGCAGTAAAAGCGAAATATCCAAAAAAAATATCTTAATTTCATCTAAATCAAACTTGTCTTTTCCAAAGAATTATTAAAATTCTTACAAAAACTATCAAAGTAGGTAAGTTTCTTGTCTCTCGAGTTAAGAGTACATCATGAACATTCTTCGAGGTCATGGCATCGACTTTACACTTTTCCAAGCCTTTCATTGGCTCAAAATACGAATGAGGAATGGAGCTGTTTGCTAAAAAGGCGAGAAGATCAATCTCTATCACACAAATTACTGCAGAAAATCGAGCTAAATAATTTCAAAACCATTTTTATTGTTCACATGAAATAATACGGTGAAGGATCATATTTCATCAAAGAAACATCAATCGGCCATGATGGATTCAGTGATATCCAAGTCTTTCTACTGTGAAATGGAAAAAGATAGGTTGCCAGGCAACGAAACATACGCCCACAGCAGCTAAATCGTCCGGGCAGTCAACAAGTGTTGTCGCATATTTTTACTTTTTTCGGTAATGAAACATTTATAATACACTAAAATCTGATTAAGAGTAACAACTCATGAAGTAATTATCAGAAAACCATTAGAATTTGTCTGGTTTTTATAAAGTTCTGCCCCATGCTAACGTTTAGTATACAAAACTTTTAATATCATGGAATTAGCTGTTCAATCATAAAAATTCATTGAAAATCAATATACTTATTCGTCTCAAGATCTTAAACTCTGTGTATCAATCTGAAGTCAATCAGATGATAACTTTAGCCTCTAGAGAGTCAAAAGATTTTTCAAAGTGATCAAGGGCAATAACTTTGGCAGTAATTATCGAAAATTCTTGAAAATCAATAGGATTCTTTGTCTCATGACCTCAAACACTGTGTATAAATTTAAAGTCAATCGGATATTAACTTTAGCCTCTAGAGCATTCACAAGATTTTTTGAAGTGATCAAAGGCCATAACTCTGGCAGTAATTATCGGAAAATCACTGAAAATGAATAGACTTCTTCGTCTCATGACCATAAACACTGTGTATAAATCGGATATTAACTTTAGCCTCCAGAGCATCCACAAGATTTTTCAAAGTGATCAAGGGCCATAACTCTGGCAGTTATTATTGTAAATCGCTGAAAATCAATAGGGTTCTTTGTCTCATGACTGAAAACACTGTGTATAAATTTAAAGTCAATCGGATATTAACTTTGGCCTCTAGAGCATCCACAATTTTTTTTGAAGTGATCAAGGGCCATAACTTTGGCAGTAATTATCGAAAATCAATGAAAATGAATAGACTTCTTTGTCTCATGACCTTAAACACTGTGTATAAATTTAAAGTCAATCGGATATTAACTTTAGCATCTCGAACGTCCACAAGATTTTTTGAAGTGATCAAGGGCCATAACTCGGAAATCGCTAAAAGTCAATAGGATTCTTCGTCTCAAGGCCTTAAACACTGTATATAAATTCAAAGTCAATCTGATATTAACGGACGGACGGACGGGGGCGACGACAATATACGACCGCATTTCAATATGGGCGTATAAAAATGTAATTCACTAAAATATGAAATGGAATTTGCCCGTATCTAAAGTGGAAAATCATCATCCCTACTGTAGGTCGCGTGTTCGTGGTGCAGTACGGAGGGCTTGATAAGGACAGCTCTCTAGTCATTCGGATAGGATGAAAAACTGAGGTCCCATGTACACATTGGAGAGCACAAAAAAGATCCCTTGGCAGTTGGAGTTCGATATAAGAGTAGGCCGTAGCGCTGATGTCCAGGCAAAATTTCCCTCATAGCACACGGTATGGCGTATGCCAGTCCTCATTAGCCCAGTTCGAGCAGAACAGTCGGACGTTAAACCCCGTTGCATTTCATTTCATATCAAAACTTGGATTTTCGCGAAGTTGATCGATAAGACACACTTTCCTGGTTAGCCAAGACGTTGATTAAAGCTAACAAGAATGATGATTTAATACACCACAGGCGGTAATAGATTTAGTGTATAGAGTTAATTTACCTTGTCCGTTTCTACTTCGGCCACTAACTCATCTTCATTTACAAAATCACCTATCCCTGTAATTTAACATTATTTTATTCTATTAAAGAGAAATACATATCTTCTCCATCATAACTAACTTTTCATTTCAATCTAATAGAAGTATTAAAAGCTATATCTTTATTTTGCTCTGTTGACAGGTTTCTGATCATAAATTGATATATCTCTCACTTCTCTTGCTAGGGTGTTCGATCCCTGCATTGGCCGAGAAAGTTCATACCGATTTTCCGGCGTGATTCCCCCTTGTCAGTGATGCAGGAAGGAGGGCCTGACAAGGACAGCTGTCTAGTCATTCGGATGAGACGAAAAACCGAGGTCCCGTGTACACATTGGCGTGCACATAAAAGATCCCTTGACAGTTGGAATTCGATATAAGAGTAGGCCATAGTGCCGCTGTCCGGGCAAAATTTCCCTCATAGCAGACTGTATGGCGTATGCCCGTCTTCATTAGCCCAGTTAGGAGCAAAACAGGAGGACGTTAAACCCCATTTCATTTCATTTCATTTCTTGCTATATAGCCCAGTTTTAACAATAAACAAGCCAACAGTGATGTCCACCGTCGAAATCCCAAAATAAATAGATGACACATATTGATTAATTGCACATTTATCATTTTCAAAAGTATCGAGCAATCAAACAGACAATCCAAAACCTTCAACATATCATACTCTCACAGTAGCTACATAGTCTGGCAAGTGCTGTGGCATATTTATTCTTTTGTAAGTAATTGGGGGCATTTATAAGATAATTTCATACAGATCAGATTATAATTTTCGTCGCTTGAGGGTTCACAAGGTTCTAGAAGCTGAATCAAGGGCCTTTTTACTCTGGAAGTAATTTACGGAAATTGTTGAAATTTGACAGGCTTTTTCGTTTTACTAATTTAAATAATGCATATAAATAGAGCCATAAATTTAGAAGTAATTGCTGAAATTAAATAGACTTCTTTGTTTCACTAATCTACATTTGTTGGTCGAGCATTTACAAGGTGCAACAAAGTGAAACAAGTGTCATAACTCTAGAAGTATGCGAAGTAATTAACGAAAATTGCTGAAATTCAATAGGCTTCTTCGTTTCACTAATTTAAAAAATGCATATAAATTTCACAAAGATCGGATTATAGCTTTTGGCGTTAGAAGCTTCACACAGTTCAACATTTGAAGTGAAATAAGGGCCATAAGCAATTTCCGTTTATTACGTCTTGAGTTATGGCCCATAACTCAAGAGGTAATAAACGGAAATTGCTGAAATTCTATATGATTCTTCTTTTTTCTAATTCAAATGACGCATATAAATTTCATACAGATCGGCAGATAACTTTTGATGCTAAAGCGTTCACAACATGCAACAAAGTGAAACAAGGGCCATAACTCTAGAAGTAATTGACAGAAAATGCTGAAATTCAATAGGCTTCTTCGTTTCACTTATTTAAATAATGCATATAAATATCACAAAGATCGGATGATAACTTTTGGAGTTAGAGCGTTTACACGGTTCTACAAAGTGAAACAAGATAACTCTAGATGTAATTAACAGAAATTCTGAAATTCAATAGGATTCTTCTTTTAACCTATCTCAATGGCACATTTTAATATCATACAGTCGGCTGATAACTTTTGATGTTAGAGCATTCACAAGATGCAACAAAGTGAAACAAGGGAAATTATTGAACTTAAATAGGATTTTTCATCTGACTAATATAAACAACATATATCAATTTTAAAACAATCGGATGATAACTTTTTGCAGATGGCAATATACGTCCACATTTCCAGGTGGGCATATAAAAACGATCAGTTGTCTGTTGTATGGCTCAACAAAACTTAGTCCTGAGATAAATACACTTATTTTCCAAAAGTTCAACAATTTACTCAGTTATCAAAAAGATTTGAATCACAATAAAACAACTGTTACGTTATTTCCAGCACTGCACATGGTACAATCATCAAATATCTTCGCCCTTCTCAACTGGTTTGCGAGATTTGGAGGTATTGGACAATTGTATGTTGTGCAGCCCTTACCATACCCAATATTACCAAGCAGTACTTTCAAAATAGATTTCTACCTACTAAAAATAAAAAATATCTCTGTATTATCCACTATGTATCCTATATGCTCTATATTTATGTTATCATGTATGTATATATGTACATGTATCAAAATCAAAGAGAGGGGTTACACATAGACATATCCTGTTCCCCAATCAAAGTTCAGATTTACTGAATAAAAATATTGTTTAAAAAAAAAGAAGATAGGTTGCCAGGCAACGAAACATATGCCCACAGCAGCTACATCGTCCGGGCAGTCAACAAGAGATGTCGCATATTTTTACTTTTTTCGGTAATGAAACTTTTATAATACATTAAAATCTGATTAAGAGTAACAACTCATTAAGTAATTATCAGAAAACCATTAGAATTTGTTTGGTTTTTATAAAGTTCTGCCCCATGCTAACGTTTAGTATAGGAAACTTTTAACATTATGGATTTAGCTGTTCAAGTCATAAAACTTCATTGAAAATCAATATACTTGTTCGTCTCAAGACCTTAAACTCTGTGTATCAATCTGAAGTCAATCGGATGATAACTTTAGCCTCTAGAGCGTCACAAGATTTTTCAAAGTGATCAAGGACCATAACTTTGGCAGTAAAAATCGGAAATCATTGAAAAACAATAAGATTCTTCGTCTCATGACCTCAAACATTGTGTATAAAGTGATCAAGGGCCATAACTTTGGCAGTAAAAATCGGAAATCGTTGAAAAAAAAAAAAGATTCTTCGTCTCATGACCTCAAACACTGTGTATAAATTTTAAGTCAATCGGATATTAACTTTAGCCTCATGACCTTAAACACTGTGCATAAATTTAAAGTCAATCGGATTTTAACTTTAGCCTCTAGAGCGTCCACAAGATTTTTCAAAGTGATCAAGGGCCATAACTTTGGCAGTATTTATTGGAAATCTTCATCTCATGACCTTAAACACTGTGTATAAATTTGAAGTCAATCGGATATTAACTTTGACCTCTAGAGCGTCCACAAGATTTTTTGAAGTGATCAAGGGCCATAACTCTGGCAAAAATTATCTGAAATCGCTGAAAATCATTAGGATTCTTCATCTCATGACTTTAAACACTGTGTATCAATTTAAAGTCAATCGGATATTAACTTTAGCCTCTAGAGCGTCCACAAGATTTTTCAAAGTCATCAAGGGCCATAACTCTGGCAGTGATTATCGGAAATTGCTGAAAATCAATAGGCTTCTTCGTCTCATGACCTTAAACACTGTGTATAAATTTGAAGTCAATCGGATATTAACTTTGACCTCTAGAACGTCCACAAGATTTTTTAAAAGTGATCAAGGGCCATAAATCTGGCAGTAATTATCGGAAATCGCTGAAAATCAATAGGCTTCTTCGTCTCATGACCTTAAACACTGTGTATAAATTTGAAGTCAATCGGATATTAACTTTGACCTCTAGACCGTCCACAAGATTTTTTAAAAGTGATCAAGGGCCATAAATCTGGCAGTAATTATCGGAAATCGTTGAAAATCAATAGGCTTCTTCGTCTCATGACCTTAAACACTGTGTATAAATTTAAAGTCAATTGGATATTAACTTTGACCTCTAGAGCGTCCACAAGATATTTTGAAGTGATCAAGGACCATAACTCTGGCAGTATTTATCAAAAATCGCTGAAAATCAATAGGCTTCTTCGTCTCATGGCCTTAAACACTGTGTATAAATTTAAAGTCAATCGGATATAAACAAGCAATTGTGGACGCCGGACGGACAGGGGTGACAACAATATACGACCACATTTCAATGTGGGCGTATAAAAAGGAACAGAGTCAAGACATTCACCTAATGAACATCTACATCAAGTTTAAACATTCTACCCCAATTAAAAGCAGAGTTGTTATGTTCCAAAGTCTTGACAAATCAAACTGCTCATCATCGAACTTAAATCAAGGTAACGATATAATGTATCTATACTCAGAGTTTCATCGCTCTCACCAAGTTAGAACCAAAGTTATTGTGTTCTAAAGTCTCAACCAATCAAATTGCTCATCTCTGCTTAGCCTTAGTGGAAAATGCACATGATCGAACTCTGTCAAGGCGTTTACCTATCAGACACCTACACCAAGTTCGAATATTTTACCTCAATTAGAAGGAGAGTTATTGTGTTTTTAAGTCTCGAGCAATCAGATCAAAGTCTTTACTTTGCCTAAGCAGAGTTGTTATGTTCCAAAGTCTTGACAAATCAAACTGCTCATCATCGAACTTAAATCAAGGTAACGATATAATGTATCTATACTCAGAGTTTCATCGCTCTCACCAAGTTAGAACCAAAGTTATTGTGTTCTAAAGTCTCAACCAATCAAATTGCTCATCTCTGCTTAGCCTTAGTGGAAAATGCACATGATCGAACTCTGTCAAGGCGTTTACCTATCAGACACCTACACCAAGTTCGAATATTTTACCTCAATTAGAAGGAGAGTTATTGTGTTTTTAAGTCTCGAGCAATCAGATCAAAGTCTTTACTTTGCCTAAGCAGAAAATGCTCAGCATCAAACTTTGTGAAGATATTGATGTAATGAAACTATATACAAAGTTTCACCTTTATCACTCAATTATAATCAAAGATGTTGAGCTCCGAAGTCTCTATCAATCAAATTGCTTATCGCTCTGCTTACTCAGAGCCAAAAATGCTCATTATAGAACTTAGTCAAGGTACTGATGTGATGAAACTATACACCAAGTTTCATCACTCTCACTTAATTATAACCGAGGTTATCGTGTCCCAAAGCATCAACAAATCAAATTGCTTATCTCTGCTTACCGTAAGCAGAGAATGCTCATCTTCGAACTCCATCAAGGCATTGACCTAATAAACCCCTACACAAAGTTTGAACATTCTGTTCAATTAGGAGAGTTATTGGGTCCCAAAAAGTGTGACTGACAGACAGATGGCTGGATGAACAGACCCATATTAATAGTCTCCTGTTTTCTTCGTAAGGTGGGGAACAATTATTGCATATAATTATATCCTGATTAAAATGAAATGTGAATGAGAAACTGACCTTTTTCCCATCTTATATCACCCTCAGTAATAGATTCAGCAAATGGTGGACAGTTGACCGTTTTATCAATACCTATATAGAGTCAATGGTCATTTTATTATACATTTTACTCAAAAAATAAATGAAGTGCTATGACCAAATCAACAAGTTTTATGAAACCTAGTTTTAAATTCAAATATATATGATGATAATATGGTTATAATATTGTTCAAATCAATATCCAAAACTATATCTTTATATTGGAAAATATTAAAATGCAATATGATAAAAAGAACAATTCCAACAAGATAAGAATTTTAATTAATTCAAACTTTTATTAAAAATGACAACACATTTAGATTTAGAAGAAGATAACTGTTTAAATAAAACTAGAGAAATATATAAAATGAATTTGATGTCATAATGTACTGCTTAGGTACATTTTGTATTTCAAAACTTACTGTTTAAAGATGCTGAATTATGGAAAGTCTGTAATGAAGAGGTTCCTGTTAATGCGGTATGAAGGTGTAACCTACCAAATAAATCAATATAAAATACTAATCACATTAAAATATATCCCATCTCTTTATTTTTTTAGTCACTAAGCATCCAAATGTATTAATATCTTGTATTATTACCAAGCCATTATAATTGTATGACAAATTTCATCTGTTTTCACACAATCCAAAGTATCTGTTTCAATTGTTAGAATTTATGATGCCAGTGTCTATTTACTGCCCTACTGTTATAATCTATTAACCAAGTTCAATTCTAAGCAAATCCAATAATGCTTTAAAAGTACATAAAGAGAAATAATTTAATCCTTTGTCAAGCCTTTCTCTCATTATTATTGTTACAAATGTAACATAGATATTGAACATTGGTAGATTGTATAAAGACATTATTCTAACATTAGTTTAATGACATATTTTTGGAAAAAGTGTAGTGATTAATTCTTAGTTGTATATAGTTTGAATGATTGATTGAGTATCCCTTTGTTGCTGTCACCAGATGTGTTAAATAATAATATTAAAACTTGTTTCAAAAGATAAATTAAAAATTAATATTCATTTTTAAACTGTTGCAAGGGGAGTTTATAAGAACCTTGTAAAATCAAAAGAAAAACATGACTAGTATTATATATTCTTACTGACGGCACAATCATTAAAGATATAAATTATACCTAAACAAAACATATTGCTCTGAAAAGCATACTTAATAAAAGAGCAAAATTGAACAATAAACCTGAAGTAATTATCAAAAATTGTTGTCACAATTTAAATATTACTGTAATTTAGACTTGTTAACATTAGATTTTTTTTAGTGTTTATTAGTTAATAGATGTATAGACAGTATCATGTACATGACTATTTATGCTTCTGAAAATGCATGTGCATCAAAGCTGTTAGGAAATCACTTTAGAAATTGACATTTGAAATAAGTTATTCACTGAAATAACTTCAACTTTTATTAAAGTCAAATCTCTAATAGATTTTAAGAGATATAAAAAATTTATGTTATATATATATATATATAGAGAGAGAGAGAGAGAGAGAGAGAATCTCCTACCAGTCTTTTTTGATATTAAAAAAGATGAGTAGGAGATTTTATTTACCACCCAATCCCTTCTTACATGCACAAATAGATAAATATAATTTTTTGCTGTAGATTTCACTTTTACTGCACATTACGGTGTAGTGATACATAATTTTTTGACAGCAATTCAACCTTTGCAAAGTTCTTTATATTGGCCCCGTGTTTCCATCAATGTCAATTGAATTACAATAGTTCATTTTTAATAAAATAGAAATGAACTGTTCTTTGAATATAAAAAAAAGTAGTTCCTTTTCAACTGACCAATCAAATTCATGTAAAGCGATATCTCATAATGAGATATCGCAGTAGATTATGAAATATATCACACAAGCGATATCTACTGTAGAATGTATTATTGGGTGATAAATTATGTTTAATAAATAGAATTACTTCGAGGAACTTTTTTTTACCATTTGAAAACAGATTTTATTTTAGTAACATTTCTGCCATGAGAATATAAAGATCTTAGTAAATCGTGTATCCATCAATCAATAAGAAATATTACAATTTTGGAACATTAAAGAAAACCTTATTCACTATCAGCTAAAAAAAAATATCAAACAACTTTTTAAAAAAAATCATCTTTTCAATCAATATCTTTCAAACACTACCCCACATCCCCGTTGAGTTTCCAGCAGGGTATAAAAAAAAAAAGTACACGGGTATTGAACATTATCTAGTGAAAGTACACCCATTAGGCATCAAAAATAAAAATCACCTATAGAGGGCTTTTTCCATGGTGAGCCAATAACTCTTTTCTTGAACTTTTTACAAGGCTAGCACATGAAACGCGCTCAATATTTTTGGCGCAATCGGAATGAATAAAATGGAGCTTGACGTCCTACTGTTCTGCTCCGACTGGGCTTATGAAGACGGGCATACGCCATACAGTGTGCTATGAGGGAAATTTTGCCCGGACAGCGACACTATGGCCTACTCTTAGGTCTAATTCCAAATGCAGTGCTCCATGTTAGAAAAACATAAGAGGAGCCATAAAAAGCTCTTCAAAAATACAACAGCTGAAAATCGCTCCTGCAAAAATAGCTCTTCTCAACTTAAATTAGAGGAGCAATCCATTATTTAGAAGAGTTATTCATTTATTTCATACTTTGACCATAGCTGAAGTCATTTATTGACCATTAATACTTAGAAAATAACGATATGTGTTTCAATATTTATTAGAATAAATTTTTAAAAAATCAAATTTCAGTATCAATCATTCACTCCCATACTGACTTGATGATTTTTCGTACAATCAGGGGCCATAATCCATGAAGTTATGGTCCGAAGGTTAATAATAGAATAGTGTCATGTACGGGTGCGACGTCGTGTATGATATTTAATTTTATACCGATATTTTAGAATCCCAATTCTACACATTTCGTAACGGCAAGGCCATTCTATAAAATTTAAAGCATGATTTCGGACGTATGTTTTACTTGGCGGAATCTAGATCAATTCGGATTATGAAATTGCACGAATCTTGAATCCCAGACTAAAAGCTAATTTGGCAATTTGTGCAAATTTTCAGTCCTGCTGATCAAAATAAGAATCAAAACAATTTAATCGTGACGTGGGAAATTATAAATGATAGGTAATTAAGTTACTAAAGCGACTTTTCGAGGCTTGTCTAATTAAACCACCACTTTGACGGAAGATAATCTCTTGGCTAAGAAATCTTTTTTCTCCCAGCTACGAGAGATACGTTGAATCAAACCGGTCCAAAGCCAATCGTGTTGATAAGAAGCCGCTTATTTGACATTGACACATAACCGAAGGTGAATAGGCCTACCCATCCAGTTAATACAACAGACAATCTCACATCAGTCCACAAAAGACAGACACTTACTAGTCGCCTCCTACTTCCAATTTCCAAGGCATTATAGTCCAAACCTTGACTCTCATACAAATAAACCATTTGGTATTATTTCGTACCTATATCATACCAAACACTTCGGGCGCCATGTTGAATCACACAGTATTTAACGTTCTAAAACCTAACTACTTTATGGAATCAACGACGAATCTAAACTTGGGCACTCCAACCATTTTTGTATCATAATTAAACTCTATATTTATTGACTATCGAACTTAGTCAAGGTATTGATGTAATGAAACTATACACCAAGTTTCATCACTCTCACTTAATTAGAACTAAAGTTATCGTTTCCCAAAGCATCAACCCATCAAATGGCTTATCTCTGCTTACCCTAAGCAGAAAATGCTCACCTTCGAACTCCGTCAAGGCATGGAACTAATAAACACCTACACCAAGTTTGAACATTCTAGCTCAATTAGGAGAGTGAATTGAAATGAAATGGGGTTTAACGTCCTACTGTTTTGCTCCTAAACTGGGCTAATGAAGACGGGCATACACCACACAGAGTGCTATGAGGGAAATTTTGCACGGGCAGTGGCGCTACGACATACTCTTATATCGAATTCCAACTGCCAAGAGATCTTTTACGTGCACGCCAATTTGTACACGGGACCTCAGTTTTTTGTCCCATCCAAACGACTAGACAGCTGTCCTTGTCAGGCCCTCCTGTCCTGCATCACTGACAAGGGGAAACCACGCCGAGAAATCTGGATGAACGTTCTCAGCAAATGCAGGGATCGAACACCCGACTTTCAGTCTAGCGAGCCAGCATCTTATCCACTTAGCCACGTGATCCCACAATTAGGAGAGTTATTGTATCCCAAAAAGTGTGACGGACGGACAGACAGACGTACTCATTTTATAGTTCCCTGCTTTTTTGGAAAGGCGGGGGACAATAAAGAATATTTTCACGTTAACAAAAATATTTACTTGACGCATCATGTTTGCAGCACCCAGAATCAAATTTAGCGATATTTTTCTGTGGGCCAGAAACAAAATTCCCATTGGATAATTATTCGAGGATTGGTTTACATGGGCTTTATTTGCAGTTTGGGGGGTCGTTTTTTGACAAATATGTCAAATCTGACGCGAGCAATTTTATCCTTGGAGGAGAGTGATAAAAAGCTCTCACTCGCGTCAAACGTAAAGCATTGCAAATGATCATTTACGTGCAACGCCAATGTATACACGGGACTTCGGTTTTTCGTCCCATGAATCAACTAGACAGCTGTCCTTGTCAGGTCCTCCGTCCTGCACCACAGACTTGTTTCGACAAACCAGCGATAAAGTCTTTCTTAAGTTCATATAATGAGCTTGGAATTCCAGTAACGAACAAAAGTTCATGCTATATTTGACCATATCAACCAGTTTCTGGAGAGACGAACACAGTGATGGGTTTTCGCCCGTATATTACGGACATGTCCTGACGCTATTTTCCAAACGTCCTAAATTTTTAGACCAGGAATATGCCCAATCGGATATCAAGGTATGGTGAAAATATTCAAGATTCCAAAATTAATATAGTGTACTGAGTGTATATATACCACTCGGCCTGCTTGTTGATAATAGGATGGATTGATTAGGTAATTCAGTGAGCATCGTACCTATCGTATTATACCACCTATACACCTACCTAGATTAACAAGTTAATCTGCCTAGATTGCCTGAATTAAGCCTTTATCGGACAATTCATCAAGCCAATCCTGAACAGAAGTCATTGCTTCTCCTTTGTCATACTATGTATCAGTCCAATAAGAGTGATTATAAACTTAATCTATGTAATTCCTCCATTGTTGGACATTTTAATCTCCTTGATGTCGGACAACAACACGTAGAAATGAGTCATCTATGTCACATATCCTAATAGTATATAACACCCCAAATCAATAGACATTGTATCCGATAACTTGTCTGTGTTATCACTTCGGTGGAAGCGAGCGTTAAATAAAGCTAATTCACACACACACACATCCAAAAAATACTAGACAAGGCAAGCTCTGTTTCTGATCGCACGCAGTTATAGTACAATAACAAAAACGGAAGTAGAAATCCCGTGA